GGGCAAGGAGCAATAGGCCAAAACTGAAACACAGGAAGTTCCATCTGAATATGAGGAAAAAGTGCTTTACTGTGATGGTGACAGAACACTGGAACATGCTGCCCAGAGAGGTTGTGGAGTCTCCTTCCCCAGAGATATTAAAAAACAGCCTGGACACAATCCTGTGCAACCTGCTGTAAGGTGAACCTGCTTTAGTACAGGGGCTGGATTAGATGATCTCCAGATATCGCTTCCAACCCCAACAATTCTGTGATTCTGTGAACTTGAGCAGTGCAGTGTGTGTGCAGCACTAGTGACCTTCTGCCTCTGCCAGCCCAAGAGGAGAAGGGGATGTGTCTGTGTGTGCCTGTGTCTGATGTGAGTCCTGAGTGTGGGGCCTGTTGGGGCAATGCCTTATCTGTGGCTGCTTATGTGAACAGCTGTGTTCGTGTCGCCTGTGTATGTGTGTGTCCACGTGTCGGTGTGTCTGTGTGTTTCTGGGATACATACTTACCTTTTCCACAAAGGGAAAAGCATCAGCCATGTCCATCAGTCTGAATAGAGGCCCCAGATCCCTGGGAACCAGGCTGGGCTCCAGTGGCCAGACAGAAGGAATTCGCAGGCCTGGAACAGCTAGAGCTGGTGAACACTTGTAGCAGCTTAACATTATGCCATTGTAACACTATTATCTGGTTACTTCCCAAAACTAATTTTTTTTTCTCTTCCACTGTCCTTTAAAGTTACAAAGATATTATGCTTATAAAGACATCCAGCACAGTGATTAAGAGCAATATTTTCAGTGACTACTTCTCTTAGGTTCCTCCACTTAAAATGAAAAAAGGTTCAGCATAAATTATTTTCAGTGGATTTGAATCTTGTCATAATGTTGTAGTTAATAAAGCTGGAGCCCTTCTAGGGCATGTGAGGCCCTTAGTGCCCTGTAAATAAGGAATTAAAAAAAAATGAGGGATGAAAAATTGTTTGACATTTTTGAAAATTTGACTTCTGATGTGGTTAATATCACACAGCAGATGTAACAGGCCACAGCTCATTGCCTGAGGTGAGCTAACTGAGCAGAAACCACAAGGAGAGATTATACCCACAGAAACAGTTTATTACAAGAGAGCTGAAGGGCATTGGCTGTGAATAAGCGAGAGAAATTTATGCTATAGTTTAACCATCACTTTAAACTCCTGAAGCTGACAAAAGAGGCATTTCAGCCTTCCCCAGATTACTTTTACCTATGCTGTGCCCACACAAACAGTTGTGCTGGACAAAGGGAGGTGATGGCAGAGGAGCAAGCAAAATAAATATTCCATTTTTAACTTGGAACAAGGTTTTCTGCCTAGTTTACCACCTGCAAACACAAACTTTTATGTTGGCACAAGTGAGGAGTTAATATAAGGATGGGAATGAATGGTTGAGCAAGGGAACCATAATGAATCTCTTTATTTAGCTGGTCTATGCTGCATAAAAATGACTGCAGAATTATGGCATTGTAATTGCTTTGTGAATAAGTAGGAAAATAGATTTCCTTATAGTTCATAGCATAATTCAGATTGGAAGGTTACCTAGTCCCAACTCCTGATAAGAACAGAGCACTTCAGCAGTAGTTGAAGTGGCTCAGGGCCTTCCTTAGTTGGGTTTTGAATGTTTCCATGGTGGAGATGGCACAATCCATTTGGACATTTGTTTCAGTTCTTAACCCTTCTTTGGAAATAATTTTTTCCTTATGTCCTATTGGAGTTTATTTGGCAACGTATGTCATCTAGGGAAGCCCTGACCTGATCACTGTATTTCAAATGCAGCCTCCATAGTGCTGAATAAAGAGAAATAATTGACTTTCTTGATCTGCTGGCTAAGCTTTTGCTAATGCAGCCCAGTATGTGGTTAACCTTTGTCACAACAGGGTACATTGCTGACTCACATTAAACTTATGGGCCATCAAGATAACTTCCCCGCTAGTCCTTTTCAACAAAGCTCTTTTCTAGCCCTGCCTGTCCTGTTGCATGGAGTTTTCTCTCTCCTTGCAGACCACTAGCATGTGATTGTGTGGGATGAAATAGCAGTGATTCAGAAAACTTGGAAAGAAGCCCACATTGAAACTATTTCTTAGAGTGTTGTCCTAGTCTTTTTGGGTCCTCAGAAATCTGCATTTTTTTTCTTTCCATATCTCCCTCAGTTTACTAAGGTTAACCTTACCCCTCTTGCTTTCTACACATCTATGATCCTCCTCTTTGGAAGTTAAAAGTAAACATAGAAACAGCAAAACTTCTAAAAATTGAGACTATAGATGAGAAAGGAAAAGGATAAGAAGGCACAAACATGATGCTTAGCTTTGCAGTTATTAGGATTCTGGCACAGATAGTAGATTGCATAAACAATCGAAACAGAGACTATGTAACTAGCATATGTTACTAACATTAGAATAATGTTGCCAGTGTCAGATAAAGCTCTTTGGAAAGTACATTTTGTTCCCTTTGTAATGATTTTGCTTTTGAAATTACTCTGTATGAAACTCTTTAGTTGTTACAAGTGTGACTATCCCTGCACTGTTCAAATGCCTTCCCCTACTTCATTTTATTTCTTATCAGGAACAGCGCTCCAAACACTCGTCTCAGTGTTCATATCAAAGCAGACAAGATCCAGACCTCTGAAGGACTGAGTTGCTTTATGCATTTTTGTTCAGCACAGAGAACAAACGCCATACTTTCAAGAGTGTGAGGTGTATTTGTAGCGCCTTGCCCATTGCAAAGAAATTTTTCTACTCTTGATATTCTCCTTTGCTCATTCTTTCCTCTATTGTCATAACTGAATTCATAAAACAGTTCTTTATATATTTTGTTTTATAAATGGAACATTCTTCAGGAACAGAGCAAGAATGTGTGCACAGAAATCACTCAAGAGTCGCCTCTATTGGAAAAATACCTCTTACTTTCAATAGTGAAAATTAGTAAATTTTGACATATGAAAAACATGAATTTATTGTTTGCTCACCTTAAAAATACCATTTCACCAAGCAAAGTAATTTAGGAGTAACTTGTTTCATATTCTTTTACTTCTATAATAATTTAAAGACACACCTAATTAAGGTATCATTTTAAGTGGGAAGAAAATGTGATTTTTAAGGTTCAAGAGTAAAGTTTAGATTCAGGTGGTGCTTTTTATTCTACAATACAGTAGCTCTGACAAAAACATGCATTGTATTCCTTTTTTCAAGTTCTTGCATCAGGTTAAGAGTTTATTTTGCTATTATATCCATCTCAAACATGCTAGGAAACTACTTTCTCATTATATCCATCCCAAACAGCAGCAGATTATTAGCCCTGAATTTGACAGGGTGAGATTGAACTGTACCAGTTTGAGAAATGGTAACAGTTAGAATATTTTGTGTGTTTGGAATTATTTGTCTGTGAAGACCTCCCACACACTTTGTTCCCAGTTTTTCTTTCCAGTTATATAGAATAATACATGAAAAATAATACATGCAAAAATTTTCAGAATAAGTATAACCTATTTCATGAATAATTCATTTCTGTCTTGTACGACTTCATTATGTCATGTATAACTAGCACTTTGTACTGTCAGGCTGAAAAGCTACAAAAAGTGTTTAACCGTGCAGCATAAATTCATAACTTGTAATTTGAAAAGTGACATGATATTGCACAAGTCCTAGCATTTTTCAAATATGCTTTCCCAGATACCTTATTTAAGATGCAAAAAATACAAAACTTAGAGTTATTTTTTTCTACTCATAGAGGTCTGCTTTTATAGCAGCAAATCATATATTTCATAATTTTCACTCTCCGAACAGCTCTCATAAAGGAATTATTTTCAGCTATTGGTCTTAATTGTACAAGATAGCTAAACCATAGCTAAATATTTCATCAGTTATGTCAGGTTAGAGAATATAATATTATACCCATCTTCTAAGTGAGGAAACTCCGGCACTACTTACAAACTAATGGCTGTTGTTCCCTAATTGCCTAAAGAAACAGCAACACAGCTGTGAGTTTGCTGTGGTTTGAAGCCCCAAAATGACATGTCCTGTCTGGTACCTGCACATTTGGTTAGTTGGTTGGTTGTTCCAGTGGGAAGAAGATGAAGATTTAATTTGAGACTGTATTTGCAGCTACAACTATTTGCTTATGTTGGTATTAATATTCTTTCATGCAGTTTCATAGGTGCTGACCACAGAATGTGTTTCTGGAGAAAATTTTCCTAGAACGATGGTAAGTTGCATATGGGTAGGTTTGCCTTGGGATGCCCTCCTGCAGAAAAGGAAAGCAAGCAGCTGGCCTTCCTCTTCTTTCATCTCAAACTATGCAAATGAGTTACAAGGTCCGACCTTCAATACTATAATGTAGTCATAGAATCGTAGAATTGTTTAAATTGTAAAAGATCTTTAAGATCAAGTCTCACCATTAACTCAGTACTGCCAAGTCCACCACTAAACCATGTCCCTAAACATCTATATGTCTTTTAAAGAAAGACCTCCAGGGATGGGAACTCAACCTCTTCCCAGGGATTTATACTCCCAGTAGAATCCCCAGAGATTTAATGACAGAAGGCTTTCTTTCTCACACAAATAGCAGAAAGAAAAAAAGAAGTCACTATAAAGAAGGATAAGAGTCTCTGTACTTAGTTTTAGACACCAAAATTAGGTGCCTGAAATTTCCCTTTAGAGGTGTTTTGAAGGCCACACTTTTCTCTATTGAATAGAGAGGGAACCTGAGCGCTTACTTTGATATTTCTTCATTCCAAGTTTAAGTTCGTGACAGGTGCAAAGTAAATCTCATACTTCTTTGGGTTTTTTTCATAGTGTGAAATATACATTTCTAAAATTACTATTCATGGGTACTAACAGTTGTTCCTCTGCACTGTTTAGAAACAGCTGCATTCAGGGTCAACAACTTCATTACCTAGTCATAAATTCAGTTAGGAGTTGTGTGTACAGATCCTCACTGACTTGCTAGTGTGTCCAATAAGGAACAGAATCAGGATTAATTGTTAAGTCTTACCATTCTAGTGTCCTTCAGTCTCAGTGCTACAAGCAGGCTTTTGTTTTAATTGCTTCATTTTTCCATCACAACCTGGAAGACAGAAGAATCATAGTGATTGATATGGATTTCTTTTTCTGGTAAATAAGATTTGTTTTGCATTTTAAACTGTTGAACAAGGTCTATTTCTTTCAAATACATATTTTTCCCTTTAAGCATACCATTATATATATATCTCACGAATGCAGAGAAAAGATCACTACACAGAAATGGGACATGAATGACATTTTGCTATCATGTATCATCATGGTTTTAAAAATAATATGTTTGTTCAGATTTCTCTCTTCACAAACTGTAATCCAAGAGCAAGGCGACCTCATAGCAACCAACAATTACAGGCAAAACATCTCAGAAACAGTCTTTAAAGGATAAAGCCTCAGGCAAGTTCTGTTTCCTGTAATGTTAGACGAAAAGTTAATACAAAGTGAGTCTTCAAATGAACAGAAACTAATTTGATACTTGGCAGTAGCTAAGGAAGAGCTTCTTTCTTCTTTAACTTCTTATTTTGTTTTGCTTTTTCTCTTCACACAGAGAGATTCTGTAGTTTTTCATACTTCTTCATCAAACCTTTAAGGCAGAAGAGTCTAGATAAGACAAGTGATTCATTGAGCCAGACTTCCCAGGTGAAAAGTGTATGTTAAAATTACCTATGAAGAATGCAGATAGGAATTTTATATTTGCCTATTCCCTACAACAGCCTGGCATGTGAGATTATGCGGACATGCAAATTTTCTTACTAAATTCCATTTTCACAGTCTTTGAACCAGCAGTAATGCTGGGAATGCAACTACTGCTCTTCTCCATTCAGTATGCAGGTCACTATAAAATTGCTGGTTCAGAACCTCCTCATCTGGCCTGCTATCACCTTTTCATGTCAAAAAAAGTTGCTAAAGACATCAGTTCTAAACCCAAAGAGGACAAATAGATGACTCTGCCATCATCTCTTTGTGGAGGGGTTCGCTCGATGTTTCCTTGGAACACCTGACCTTGCAATGTCATTGCAACAAATTAATTCTGGCCTATAGGTAACTTATTTGTGTAGAAGTTGGCAGAAATTGGATGATTTATCAATCTTGTCCCTCATTTGCAATTGTAAATAGAGTATTGAATAGGCAAGTTCTATTTTCATCATACAAATTGACTGTCTGGTACAGAATTATTCAAATACTAATCCTAATTTGCACCCTGTGCAATACTATTCAAGTCAAAGGGTAAAGCTGGGGTTTTGACCTCACACAGCAATTGACCCATTTATTTTTCATTGTGTTCTGTTTGATGCTTTATTTATTAGAGAGTAAAGACTGCACACAGCCTGCAATTGTAATCCCTCAGATGAAGAAAAAAATTTGAAGTCCTTTTCTGAGGCAGTTATGCAGCTGAGTACTGTGATCTTCATTGCTGAGCCGTGGTTGTCACCAATTAATTAATCTTACTTCTAGTCCAAGTTTTAAAGCAATGTAAACTTCACGTGGTCAACACAGATCTTAGAACCTTCTTCCTCCTGCTGTGTTGCTAGAAGGTTCTCTAGCATTAAGGATGTAGTTGCATAAAAGGAAGAGTTTGGAACTGACTACTCTTTTTTTTTCTTCAGAAAATGTATTTAACTTGTTATTGACTTTTCTATCACCTTGGCTATCCTCGCTCAGAGACACCCAGATTCATTATTTACTTGACAAGTTTTCAAACAAGCACCTTGTGTTTTCTCTCATATTCTCCCCTCATCTAGGGATATCTTCTGCATAACTCTTGCAAATTCATCTCACTAACATTCCTTAATTCCTTCAAAGACTTATTTCTTTTACTGTGAAGTCTAAACATTTGTGAAAATCATTGGGCAGCTCATATTTTAGAACCTTACTGATTTGGTTCATGAACATTGTTCCAATAGTTTCAAAGTTTTGATACAACAAACTGCCCATATCATAAAATCATAAAATGGTTTGGGTTGGAAGGGACCTTAAAGATTGTCTAGTTTCAACCCACCAACCATGGGCAGGGATCCTACCCACTACATCAGCTGGGTCAGAGTCCCATCAACCTGGCTTTGAACACTTCCAGGGATGGGGCATCCACAACTTCTCTGGGCAGCCTGTTCCAGTGCCTCACTACTCTCTGAGTAAAGAATTTCCTCGTAACATCTAAACTAAATCTCTCCTCTTTTGGTTTAAAACCATTTCCCCCTTGTCCTATCACTGCCTGCCCATGTAAAAAGTTGCTCTTCAGCATTTTTTATAAGCCCTTTCAAGTACTGAAAAGCTGCAATGAGGTCTTCCCAGAGTCTTGTCCTCTCCAGACTGAACAACCCCAACTCACTCAGCCTGTCTTCATAGGAGGTCCTTCACAGCTCTCCTCTGGTCCCACTCCTGCAGGTCTTTGCTCTGCTGAGGACCCCAGACTTGCACACAGTACTCTGGGTGGGGTTTCATGAGGGTAGAGTAGCAGGGCAGAATCACCTCCCTTGACCACACTTCTTTTGATGCAGCCCATGGTATGATTGGCTGTCTGGGCTACGAGTGCACATTGCCAGCTCATGTCCAGCTTTTCATGCACCAGAAAACAATGTCTCTTTTTTTAAAGCTTTAATTGACATTTTCCTCTGGATTTTTTTTTGGTTTAATATTTTCAGTGGTGCCTTTCCCAGTATGATAATCTGTGACTCCCTATAATAATAATGAATTAGAAAAACACAATACCACATAGCTGCTTTTTTATAATGTAAACATGACTGTAATGTAAATATGTTCTGTTTGTATGATTTTTACATGCAAGAAAAAGTTACAAAATTAATTGGTGGATTTTATGTATAGTTCAAAGATTAATCCTTACCCCAACAGCTAAATACAAGTCAATAAGATGAGGGGAGACATAGAAGCAAAATTATGAAGGTGAAGTCCGACACCTTAATTCCATTTTTTTCTTTTCCTTACTTTATCTGCTCACTCTTACAGCCTGTCCTCTAAAATGGTGTCCAGCTCCCTCACTTTCTTTCCCTCTGTCTCCGTTATGGATTTTGATTTGAACCGTAATATACACAGACTCACTGTCATGAAGCAAATAAATGGAATGCTATAGAGCACTTGCCTACACACTTCACAGCTTTTCTTGTTCATGAATTTGTATCTTAAATTTATTGTTTTAATATCTTAAAGTCCAACAGCTTATTAACTGCTCTGACACTCAGAATACACTTTTTTTGATCATGTGCCACTCATTCTAATGGCTTTGTTTTTTGAAGGACTACTAAATCTTATAAGCAGAGGTTTAATTTCCTCCTCTGAAAGGAAAGGAAAAAAATTACTAAAGTACTTGATGTTGGTTGTATAGCAATGAGGTATTCATCTCTATTTCTGTCTATTGAGATGCTTTTCAGTCTAATAATTGGGAATTGATCATTGTAAAAATCTATATTACAACAACAAAAATGACATATGCATTGCACTGATAGGATTTTAATATTGAAATCAATTTTTCATAATAATATTGTATGGGGATGCATGAACTTTTCACACTTAAAATGTATTTTGAGAGCTTCAAGAATACTTAGTATTTCTAATTATTTCATGCAGATTTCTATTTCCCCACTTGAATTGTTTAGTTAATAAGTACTGGAATTTTAAAATTACATTCTCTCACATTTTTTTCATTATTATGATGAGAATTTTATCTTCTTTGGGCATTTATATTTCCATAGGTAATAAGCATAGTCAGTTGTTTCAAATCTCCTGATTCTGAACTGGTTTCTGCAGTTTTTCATACTGTAAAATTAATTACAAAAGTTCAGTAGTAGAACAGTTGATGAGAATCAGGTGTTGGGTGAGGGGCAGAATGGAGAAATTCAAAATGTGGAGAATTAGTTGAAGGAGGAAGAACCTGAAGAGGGATCTGAGCCACAGAGATTGAAAAGCTGTTTCCTGTAGTCTGCGTATTAAAGTGTTTCAGGTTCAGCAGGAGAACATGGCAAGGTGAGCTTTGTGGCAAGGTGGTCTCCATCAGATGAAGCTCTTACCTTTGATACACTAGTGTCCATTTCCATCAGAACTTGACAACTAGGAAAAACTTTCTGTCTTAATTTTCTCCTGCAATAAGTGTAGTAACAAACAGGCTAGCACAAGCCCTGGCAAAGCATCGCACTAGAAGAGAGCATACACACGAAGAAAAGTAAAGGTCTACAATATACCTCTCAGTGGAGGCAAAGGCATCCTTACCAGCTGTGAAAGCGTTAGAGGGGATGCTGCTCTCCACAGGATAGAACCCATGTGGTCCCTACATGGTTCCAAACTGACTCTTGCCACATGATTCCAGATCTCTGGAATCAGCTTGGAGCATCTGCTGCTCTTCAATTTGTGTGAACCAAAGCTGTGTTTCTATCTCAGTCAGCTAGAAGCATTGAAAAAAGAAGATAAATTCAACCTTACCCTAAAGTTTGATGCTCAAGAAAAAGAGGTGACCCAACAAGTAGGGTATTTTGAGGAGCAGATTCTGAATCTATCTGGGACAGGCCTTGCATTTTTAGTCTCTCTTCCATTGTTTTTATATCTGTTCTATTAGATACCATGGATCATGCAGGAAATGGGGGCTGGGAGACTGATTCTCTCCTTTACACTTAAGCAGAGGTTCTTGTCACGAATGGTGTCATTCGGTACTGGGTGTCCGTGTTGGGGGGCTGGCAGTGGGGGCTGCAGGGCAGTGGGGGCTGGCAGTGGGGGGCAAGAAGTGTTTATGGCTGCCCCATGCTGGACACAGCATCTTGGGGAAATGATATTTTGAAAAGGGCCAAACACTGCAAATGCAGTGGAGACTGAGGAGAAAATGTGAAAGAAACAGCCCTGAAGACACCAAAGTGAGAGAAGGAGGAAAGGAGGAGGTGCCCCAGAGCAGAAACAGAGATTCTCCTGCAGCCCCTGGAGGAGACCATGGTGGGGCATAGGAAAAGTGTGAGGAGGAAGGAGTGAAACAGTGGAGTTCTTATGGACTGGCTCCAACTCCCACTCCCCATCCCTCTGCATCATTCGTGGGGGAGGAGGGAGAGGAGC